CCATGATCTGCCTGTATTGCAGAGGGAGGAGAACAGAGATCCAGTGATGTCAAAAAGTGTGACATGTAAAGAAAATGGAAATATTTTATTTAAAATTTTCATTAGCAGTATGAAGAGAGGAGGAACCATGGAAGGCAAAATATAAGTAGATTAACCACTTCCCATCTGGCCCATGTCTATAAACGGCCAGACAGGATCGCTGCTGAGGCAGGTTGACGCTCCAAAAACGTTACCCGCATTCACTGCCTGTGCACGCTCCCTGGGAGCGTGCGGCACCGCAATCTGGTGCCCGCTGTGATCGCTGTACGGGACCTCTGTCTGAGGTCCGATTCATGTGATCATTGATTGGCCAATCAGTGATCACATGAGCAGTAGTAAACAAGATGTCACTTCCTGACCTCATTGCTTACTACTTGTGAAATCACAACTCTCACAGTATTTCTCAATGGCTGCAAGAATGCAGCCAGAGAAAAAAAGAGAAATTATTGCTTTTACAGCCTTTATGGGTGTAAAAGCAATCAGTGTAAAATAAGAAAAAAAATCTTCATCACCCCCCCACAAGTAGTACAGTGTCACTATGGTGACACTGTACTGCTAGAGTGACAGTATGTTAAAAAAAAAAAAAATAAATAATAATATAAAAAATAAAATAAAAAAAAATGTAAAAAAAATTATAAACTAATTTGTGTTTTTTTTTTACTAAAAAGATAGCTGAATATATTTTGGCCAAGATTAATGAAGAAAGATTATTTATTTGCAAAATTTTATAAGTAAAACACTTTTTTTTTCAAAATTTTTGGTTTATTTCATTTATATAGCAAAAAAAAATTAAAATCCCAGTGGTGAATAAAAACCACCAAAATAAAGTTTTATCTGTCTCAAAAAATCCAAAAAAATTCATATGGGTACAGTGTCACATGACCACGCTATTGTCATTCAAAGTGTGATAGCACTGAAAGCTGAAAATTGGCCTGGACAGGAAGGGGGTAAAAGTGTCCAGAACTGGTTAACTACTTGCCCTCCTGAGGATTTGCCCCCCTTAATGACCAGGCCTCTTTTTGCTACTCAGCGCTGCACTAATTCAACTGATAATTGCGCGGTCATGCAATGCTGCACCCAAACTAAATTTATGTCCTTTTTTTTCACACAAATAGAGCTTTCTTTTGGTGGTATTTGATCACCTGTGCGCTTTTTATTTTTCACGCTATAAACAAAAAAAGACCAAAGATTTTGAAGAAAAAAAACTAAATTTTTTACTTTCAGCTATAAAAAATATATAGTAAACTCAAAGTTAGTTATAAATTTAGGCCAAAATGTATTCTGCTCCATGTTTTTGGTATAAAAAATCCCAATAAGTGTATATTGATTGCTTTGTGTGAAAGTTATAGCGTCTACAAACTATGGTATAGATACTGCAATTTACGCCATTTGTTTGCTATACAGCACTGCGCTAGTTTATAGGACAATTGCGCAGTCATGCAATACGGTACATTAATGAAATGTACTTTTTTTCACACAAATAGAGCTTTCTTTTGGTGGTATTTGATCACCTTTTTATTTTTGGCAATATAACCATAAAAAATTTTTGTTCTCATTTTGGTCATGAAAAATATCCAAAAAACCTAAAATTTCGTCATAAATTTAGGCCAAAATGTATTCTGCTACATGTTTTTGGTTAAAAAAAATCCCAGTAAGTGTATATTTATTGCTTTGCGTTAAAGTTATAGCATCTACAACTGTGGTATAGATAATGGAATTTACACAGTTTTTACTTTCTGACTGCCCATCACATTTCTTGAGGTGCTAAAATACCAGGATAGTACAAACACCCCCTCAATGACCCCTTTTCGGAAAGTAGACACCCTAAGCTATCTGCTGAGAGGCATATTGAGTCCATGGAAGATTTATTTTTTTTCCACAAGTTTCTGTAAATTGACAAATTTTTTTTTTTTACACAAAGTTGTCATTTAAATTATTTATTTCTCGCACAAGCCGTGGGTATATGTAGAATTACACCCCAAAATACATTCTGCTACTTCTACCAAGTATGGGGATACCACGTTTGTGAGACTTTTTGGGAGGCTAGCCACATACAGGAGTCTGAAATCCAATGACCACTTTGAAAGCCCGAAGGTGCGTAACTTCCTCATTACACTTTCTCACTACCTATCACAGTTTCGAAGGCCCTGACATGCCAGGATAGCACCAGACCCCCCCAAATGACCCCTTTCTGGAAAGTACACCCCATGGAATTTAAAAAGAGGCATGGGGAGTATTTTGCAGATCTCATTTTTTCCCACAAGGTTTTGAAATATAAAAAAAAATAGAAAAAAAAATATGTTTTTTGCTTTTTTTCTTCAATTTCCAAAACTTGTGGCAACAAATGAGATCTGCAAAATACTTACCGTGCTTCTTATCAAATTCCTTGGGGTGTCTACTTTCCAAAAAGGGGTCATTTGGGGGGGGGGGGGGGGGTTAGGTGCTATCCTGGTATTTCAGGGCCTCCGAAACTGTGATAGGTAGTCTTAAAGTGTAATGAGGAAATAAAGCCCTTTAAAAGCCTGGAGGTGCTTATTGGATTTTGGGGTCCTGTACTTGGCTAGGCTGCCAAAACATCTCTCACATGTGGTACCCCCATACTTGGGAAAAGTAGCAGAATGTATTTTGGGGAGTAATTCCACATATACCCTTGGCATGTGTGAGCAGTAAATCATTCAAGTGACAATTTTGTTTTAAAAACTTGTGGTAACAAAAATTCTTCTATTGATTCAACATGCTTCTCAGCAAATAGTTTGGGGTGTCTACTTTCCAAAAAGGGGTCATTTTGGGGGGTGGGGGTGTTTTATGCCCAACATTAGAAGTTTATGCCACACATCACTCACTCTTGTAACCACCTGAAGACCAAGCCTTTCTGATCACGTTCATATGAAAAAAAAATCAGTATTTTTTGCTAGGAAATTAATTTAAACCCCCAAACATTATATTTTTTTTTAAAGCAGACACCCTAGTGAATAAAATGGTGGGTACTACAATTTTTTATGGCACATAGTACTCGCACAGTGATTTTTCAAAAGCAAATTTTAAAAAAAAAAAAGCACTTTTTTTCCTTTAAATGCATAAAAACACAATATATTGGCCAATTATTTGATAAACTATAAAAGATAAAGTAAATAGATACCAAACATGACATACTTTAAAACTGCGCATGCCCCGTGCAATGGCGACAAACTGCATACATTTTTAATATCCATAGGCAACGCTTTAAAAGCCTTTAAAAGCTACCATTTTAGAATTACAGAGGAGGTCTAGTGTTAGAATTACTGCCCTTGATCTCACGTTCACAGCAATACCTCACATGCATGGTGCAACTCTGCTGTTTACATACCGGCGCAGGGTCAAGGCTTGTGCACATAGATGTGCGCACATGGGAGGGGCGTTTTTTTTTTTTTTTTTTAGATATTTAGATTTTTTTCATTATATTTACACTGTACCTTTCATTTTTTTTTTATCACTTTTAATGCTATCACAGGGAATGCAAATATCCCCTATAACTTCAATGGGCATTGTCATATATTCTTTTTTGAGAAATCTGGGGTCTATCAGACTCTGGATATCTCCTCTGCCCTTACATTTTCTAATCAAACCAAAATCGGTGTGATCAGATGCTTTCCCAATTTACAAATGGCGCTGTTTATATCCTGCGAAACTGAAGTGATGACATGCTTGTAGCTTCCGAATTCTTAGACTATAGAGATGACTGGCACCACTCTGGTCTTCAATCAGCTCTATGGTCAGCTAGCAGAAACACCGGCTGCATTCTCAGGTTCCTCCGATGGCACGGGACTGCCCGAGAAGGCCGTAGGAGGCAGCGGGGGAGGGGGGGCATAATTTCCCCCTGCTTGTAAAAGCAATCCTGCAGCTAATTATCCACTATGATTGCTTTTTACATGAACGCCCAACGCTGGCTGAAAAAAACGATACCAGGATGATGCCTGCAGCTGTAGGCATCATCCTGGTATAACCATTCAAAGTCCAGTGATGTACCAGTACATTGCTGATCCTTGTTGGTTATATATGCTATGTTCTTTTTTTTTTATTTGCAGCCTGTGGACTGAATGAAAAAAAGAGAAGAAATCTCTGCCAGAAAAAGCGTGTGGTATGCCCACCATTAGAATATCCATGGTGCATCCACCCACTTCTAATGGTGGGCACACATTAGGTCACACTTTGCCACATGCGCCAGTTCCAAGATTGTACAAATGTTTAAATAGTGGCACACTTGAATAAAAATTGTCCACATATAAGTGGTACCCCATATGGAAAAAGGATCGAAAATCGTCTGATTATTCGGCCGGAAAAAAAATTGGCCGATTTTCGCACCGTTAGTGAATTAATTGGTTGGCCATTTTTCGGGGTTTTGGCACATTTTTTTCATCGGTGAAGTTGGAAAAAAAAAAACGATTTTCCCAGCAATGATGGGCAAATCGGCCGATCGTTTTACTGATAAAAAATCTGCACATGAGCCGTGACCTGCAAGAAGAAGAAAAAGAAGAATTCTCGTTGACAGCAGAATTTAAACAAACCATGTGGTGGCATTAAAAAATGTTTTTTTAAGACAAAGTAGGGGTTCCTCCCAATCCATACAGGCCCTTTGGGTTTGGTATGGATTTTGAGGGGAACCCCATGTTAAAATTAAAAGTGGCATTGGGGTCCTTCCCAAAGTCTATACCAGACCCTTTTCCAAGCATACAGTCTGGCAGGACAGGAAAAGGGCAGACAAGCGAGCGCCCCCTCCCCTTCTGAATCATACCAGGCCACATTCCCTCAACATGGTCCCCCTCCTGAAAGCAACTTGTCCCCATGTTCATGAGGCCTTTTCCCCACAACCCTGACCCAAAGGTTGTGTGTGTGGGGGGGGGATCTTGAAGTCCTTTATACCATACTTATTCACTTGGGGGGGGGGGGATCTGGGGCATAAGTCACCCCCTGCTGTCACGTACCTGATTGGAGACTGAAATGACGAGGTCGGCCTCACTTGTGTCACTAGCCCTCACCCCAATGGATGTGGAACAGAGGGTGTCTAGGGACCAGGGGGACAAGAGCGCCAGCAGATGTTGTTTGCAGCTCTTGCAGTTGGAGACTTTGGAAGACTGATGAACCTCCGATTCAGGATCAGTAGTGATATGCAGAGCTGTTATGGTAGATCGCCAGGTGTGCACCAGAGCAAGGTAGGAAGCTGGGATGGGAGACAGGAGCAGTGTCATAGGAATAGCCAGGGTCATCAACAGGCAGACAGCGAGGTACCAAATCATAAGCAAGCCAAAGTCAGGAGCAGAACCGAAGTCAGGAACAAGTATCAAGCAGGAGAGTAATCAGAGTCAGGTCAGGAATAAGTCGGGTCAGCAACAAGGAAATCACATAGGAACGAGCAGGAAACAGGGAACAGCTGAAGACCAGTCAGCACTCAGTAGCCACCTGCTCCTTAACAACCAACTATTCACAATGAATTCTGATCATTATGTTATCAAACTAATTCGAAAATTGTATTCATTTCCCCATGAGCCCAAACTACTGAATGAAACAAATGCATTTAGTATTTTCCTTATAATGTTTTTTTATTCGTTGCCATTTGTTTTTATGTCTATTTGGAAATTCGGATATATCCAAATCTCTGGAAATAAATTTTTGTCAGAAAAGTGAATCAAAACAAATGAATCACACGTGTCTAATGGTAAATAAATCACAGACAATAACCTATATGTGTTTGACTACTACAAATTATGCTTTGCTTTGATTCTTCAGGAAAAAAGCTTATATTGTCTATGATTGGAAATGGGTTGTCTAGCAGAAGGTGAAAAAACAATCCCCATCCTGTTTCCACTGTACACTTACAAACTTTATTTTGTGTGCATTTCCAGCTATTTTTATCTCTGGTTTTGCACACAAATAGCTTGCTCTTTTACATGATGAAGAAAGCAGGAGGAAAGGTGATTTTTTTTACCAGTGAATATATATTTTCTATTTGTTCTGTTTTACGTGTGTTTACTTTAGATACCTTGAACCTTTTTACATGTGTTCACACCATTTATTGCATGTTTCCTATAACTTAGACTGCCCAATAATGCTTTGACAAAGCATTTTCAGAGCTTTCAGCAAACTTTGTTGAAGATTTTTAAAGTACCATTCAACTCCAGTTTGTAAATGCTGAACACTGATCCTCTTGGGAGTATTGATTACCACTTTAAACAAGCTGCCAGCAGGCTTTAGAACTTCTTGAAGTTTGTGGAAAACCTGCTGAAGCCTGTTAGCAGCATGCTTAAAGTGGCAATCAACACTTCCATTAGGATCCGTGTTCAACATTTAAAATCTGGAGCTAAATGGTACTTTAAAAGATTCAATAAAGCTTGCTGAAAGCTCTGCACATGCTTCGTCAAAACGTACTGTTCTCACTACACCTATACAAGCTAAAGCCCATGTTGAAAAGGCCTTATGGATTGTGAACTTGTGAGCCTGTGAGGAACACTGCCAGAGATAAGGTGAACATCTTTTCCACTGTAAGAGAGCAACAAAGCATGGTCAGCTAACTCACCACAGCCTGCTGCTTGAGGCTCTGTGGCTCTGACATCCAACTGGTAGAATCTTGTGAATGTGTGAACCAAAGACCATGTAGCAGCCTTGCAAACTGGAGCTACTGACACCTGATGGTGGATTGCCCAAGATGCCCCCACACTCCTAGTGGAGTGTGCCTTCACTCGAAAGGGTGGTATTTTACCTTTAAAACCATAGGCTTGAATGAACAATTGGCGGATCCAATGAGAAATAGTCGCCTTGGATGCCACCTGCCCCTTCCTAGGCCCCTCAAGCAGCACAAATAGAGCATCTGATCTCCTGACCTGTGCTGTCACCTTCAAGAAGACCATTACAGCACGGACCACATCCAAGGTATGCAGAGATCTTTCTCTTGCTGTCTGAGGCCTAGGAAAGAATGAAGGCAGAACTATGTCCTGATTGAGATGAAAACCAAAAACCACCTTTGGTAAAAAGCACGGTGAGGTCGCCATACCACCCTATCATGGTGCAAAATCAGAAATGGTTCTCTGCAAGATAGAGCTGCCCTCTGACACTCTTCATGCAGAAGTGATTGCCAGTAGAAACAACACCTAGCGAGTTAACAGGACCAGTGGAATCTATCCAATAGGTTTGTTGTGATGTGATAATTTCTTTGCCCATTTTCCAGTGTATACTTCTATTATGCAGTGTTTATTTTATCCTTTTCCAATATGGCTGCTATGCTCTCTGGGCACTGAGGATGAGGTCATCAGAGTGAGCACTGGTGAAAAAAGGAGGAAGTGTGGGTTTTCCTGAGAGAGAGAGCTCAGACTGTAAGTGTTGCAGCCTCCCCTCACTGAGACATGCAAAAAAGACTGTTAATGCTTTAATGTTCCTGTTTGGAAGATACTTTATGTTGGATGGTTCACTGAAAGTTATTTCTTCAATACATGGACTTTCATATACAATGCTGTATGGATTACTGTCTATGTGGAAAATGCATTTCTCAGTTGGGATTTCACTTGTTATCCACAAGCCCCAATTGGGTGGAGGCACTAGTGCTTGTTAGAGATCTTGTTAGAGATCACACAGATTATAAGGACTCTGCTCCTAATTACTATACAGGTGGCACCATCATACCCCAGTAGCCACAAAGAGTGTACAAATAGTGCTACAGGTTCAAATGGTGGCTTTTGCAAAACCTCCAAAACCAAGTTCAGGTCCCAAGGACACAAAGGCAAACTGACAGGAGGAGCCATATGCATCACTCCTTGTAAAAAAGTGCGGACCAAAGAGTGAGACGCAATGGACCTCTGGAAAAAAATAGCCAATGCTGAAAGCTAGCCCTTAATGGAACCAACAGCCAAATTCTTCCATTTGTGAACCTCACACCAAGCTATGTAAGTCTTCCAGGTTCTGTAATAAATGTTCCCAGAAACATTCTTTCTAGACCGAACTTGATGGGGATAACAGAATCTGACACTCCCCTATCCTTCAGGATCTGGGTTTCAAGAGCCACGCCATCAAATTTAGCAAAGTAAAGCTGGGTGCAATATAGAACCTTGAGAAAACAGTTCTGGCCGGTGCGGCAGATGTCTACTGCCATCTTCACTATGTCTACATACCAGGCCTTCCTGGGCCAGGACGGAGCAATAACTATCACTGGAATAGACTCCTCCCAAATCCTGCATAGGAGATGTGGCAGTATCTGGATTGGAGGAAAGGCATAAATCAGTGAAAACCGGTTCCAAGGAACCACTAAGGCAGCGGTTCTCAACCTGGGGGTCGAACGACCATTTCCCAGGGGTCGCCTAAGACCATCGGAAAACACATATTTCCGATGGTCTTAGGAACCGAGACACCGCTCCTGTCTCTGGCGATGTGTGGGCGGGATGATATGCTGCCCCTGTCACCGCCTCCTCGCCGCTGATTGGCCTCCGGAACTGTAGCTCAGGAGAGGCACACAGGCGGCCAATCACCGGCGAGAAGGTGGAGCTTGGAGAGGAGGAGCCGAGCGGCAGCGCGCGGAGATCAAAGAAGATCGAGGGAGCTGCAGGAACGAGTGAAGAGAGAGGCCAGAGAAGGAAGACAGCTGACAGGTAAGTGCAAATTTTGCTGCTGCAGCCAGGTATGCAGGCTGTAGATGGGAGAGGGAGAGAGCGAGCCCAGGCTGGAGCAGGGGTCAGCAAGGTAAGTATCATTGGTGTCAGTGGGAGGGATAGTGCCCCATCATTTGTGTCACTAATACCAACGATGGGGCACTATTCCTCCCCCCACTGACACCAACGATGGGGCACTACTATTCCTCCCCCCACTGACACCAACGATGAGGCACTATTCCTCCCCTCACTGACACCAACGATGGGGCACTATTCCTCCCCCCCACTGACACCAACGATGGGGCACTATTCCTCCCCCCACTGACACCAACAATGGGGCACTATTCCTCCCCCCACTGACACCAACGATGGGGCACTATTCCTCCCACAATGACACCAACGATGGGGCACTATTCCTCCCCTCATTGACACCAACGATGGGGCACTATTCCTCCCCTCATTGACACCAACGATGGGGCACTATTCCTCCCCCCACTGACACCAACGATGAGACAGTATTCCTCCCCCCACTGACACCAACGATGGGGCACTATTCCTCCCCCCACTGACACCAACGATGGGGCACTATTCCTCCCCCCACTGACACCAACAATGGGGCACTATTCCTTCCCCCACTGACACCAACGATGGGGCACTATTCCTCCCCCCACTGACACCAACGATGGGGCACTATTCCTTCCCCCACTGACACCAACGATGGGGCACTATTCCTTCCCCCACTGACACCAACGATGGGGCACTATTCCTCCCCTCACTGACACCAACGATGGGGCACTATTCCTCCCCCCACTGACACCAACGATGAGACAGTATTCCTCCCCTCACTGACACCAACGATGGGGCACTATTCCTCCCCCCACTGACACCAACGATGGGGCACTATTCCTCCCCCACTGACACCAACAATGGGGCACTATTCCTCCCCTCACTGACACCAACGATGGGGCACTATTCCTCCCCCCACTGACACCAACGATGAGACAGTATTCCTCCCCTCACTGACACCAACGATGGGGCACTATTCCTTCCCCCACTGACACCAACGATGGGGCACTATTCCTCCCCCCCCACTGACACCAACGATGGGGCACTATTCCTCCCCCAACTGACACCAACGATGGGGCACTATTCCTCCCCCCACTGACACCAACGATGGGGCACTATTCCTCCCCCCACTGACACCAACGATGGGGCACTATTCCTCCCCCCACTGACACCAACGATGGGGCACTATTCCTCCCCCCACTGACACCAGCGATGGGGCACTATTCCTCCCACTGACACCCACAATAGGGCACTATTCCTCCCACTGACACCCACAATGGGGCACTATTCCTCCCACTGACACCAATGATGGGACACTATTCCTCCCACTGACACCAACGATGGGGCACTATTCCTCCCACTGACACCCACAATAGGGCACTATTCCTCCCACTGACACCCACAATGGGGCACTATTCCTCCCACTGACACCAATGATGGGGCACTATTCCTCCCACTGATACCAATGATGGGGCACTATTCCTCCCACTGATACCAATGATGGGGCACTATTCCTCCCACTGACACCAATGATGGGACACTATTCCTCCCACTGACACCAATGA